TAAAATTCAGGGACCCGCTCAGACAGTGAAATTCTTGGGAATACAGTGGAACAAAGGACACAGAGAAATCCTTCCAAACGCTTGGCAAAAAGTGCTAGAGTTTCAAACTCCCAAAAGCAAGAAACAAGCTCAAAGCTTTATAGGTCTCTTTGGTTTTTGGAGAGTACACATACCACGCCTGAGTCAGTTACTCTCCCCTTTGTACAAAGTAACCAGGAAAAACATGATTTTGATTGGGGAGAAGAGCAACAGACTGTATTTAAAGGGAGTTAAACAGGTTATCCAACAAGACTTGATCTGTGGCCCATACAAGATGGAGACATATACTTAAATGTATCAGTAAATCAGCAATGGGCTAATTGGAGCCTTTGGCAGAAACAAAGAAGGACAAGGTTCCCCTTGGTTTCTGGACAAGGAAGTTACCCGAGGCAGGAGAGAGGTACACACCCTTTGAGAGACAGCTCTTGGCCTGTTAATTGGCCTTGGTGGATCCTGAACAGATCGGTAAGACATACAGTGTTCTTACGCCCAGAGATACCCATCATGCAATGGGTACTTAGTTCCCCTAAGACACATAGAATAAGTCCAGTATCATAAAATGGAAGCGGTACATACAGGATAGAGCTAAAACAGGAAATAGTGGTACGGCTGTACTACATGAGAATATTGCAGTAAAGTTGGGGAAAGTATTTTGCGCAACTAACACAAGATCAAGCAAAGCATGCTTGGTTTATTTATGGTTCAGCAAAATAAATTGGTAATGAAAGACAATGGAAAGCAGTGTCTTAAAATCCAGAAACCAAGAAAATCCTGACTACAACAGGAACAGGAAAAAGTAGCCAGAATGCAGAATTATATGCAGTGTTTCAGGCACGGAAACAAGAAATGCCTGGAAGTTGTCATATATACACAGATTCCTGGTCTGTTGCCAATGGGCTGGCTACATGGTTGCCTACATGGCAGTCACATCAGTTCATGATTCATACAAAGGAAGTCTGGGGAAAAGATTTGTGGGAGCAGATATGGGAGATGGTACATCAAAATGAAGTAACAGTCTTTCATGTTGATGCTCACTGCAATACTGACTCATTGGATCATCTGTTTAACTACCACTACCCTCTAGCAAAGACCTTGCAAAGGCGTTGGATGGGATCGGCAGCTGGCCATTCTGTCTAGGCCCACCAACAATACCATGCCAGGTCTGTGCGGTTAATTATCTCTTATCTAAAAAACTAGCTCTGTTCTTATAATATTCTCGTGATGGTATGCACGAGTCATTCTGGTGATGTGTTTTGTGGTTATTAACATTTTCAGTACTGTGTATGGGTGTCATCTTAACTATCTGTAACTGTTTGAGTTGCTCAATAGTGACCAGGCAATCATACTTAATTAAAATTGAATATTATTATCACAATTTTAGAAAGAAAGGGGAAAGGGAGATAGGGAAAGAGTGTCAGGTTACTAATGATAATTGGGGGGGGGTAACCACTAGTACATAACAATTACAAAAAAAGAAAAGGAATACAAAAAAAAAGGATAGAGGATACAATATGGCAGTCCTGCGAGCTTAAATGTGTAATGAGCAACCCCTAATAAAATAAAACTTAACTTTTAAAAATTCTTATAAAATCACACTTAAACTATATATATAAAGATCAAAAAAAATAAAAAATTCAAAGAAACTGATTATAGCACAACACCTGTGTATGTGAAACAAAAGGGTGCTGAACTAAGGGGAGAGAGGGACTCAAATACTAAATAGAAGTAGAAAAAAATCCCCTGGATAAGGGGATCTCTGGTTTCCCCTGTTTGGATAAGGGGTAGTGCTTAAATTAGAGTAAATAAAAAGTAAATAGCCTGAATAGATCCAATGGAATCTCTCTAACACTACGTTCTAATAAACGATGTATAGTAGAGTACCCTACATCCCACATAATACACACATACCAAAAAGTAAATCCGATGCTATAGTAAATCACTTAAAGGATATCTAGAATATATAAGGAGGAAGGGCGGTTACAGGGGAACTGAATTATAAATTCGGCTGCAGCATAGTCCTAGTCTGTCTGGCCCCACCACCCTCCCTCTAGACTAGTCCCGACGCGCGTTTCGCCTCAAACTAGGCTCTTCCAAGGGAACCGAAGGTTGTTTAAATATCCCGCCCACCTCCGTGATTGGACGAAAATCTCACCAATCCGGAACGGGGTGCGGAGCTTGATGCCGATGCCGGTTAACCCTAACGGCTCGGCAACAGAAGAGATTAACGACAATGTATCCAGCAAGTGGATTCAATAGATAAAATAGTCACATTTAGAACTACAAATGGAAAACAGAGGATTTGTACACCACAAAAATAGAATGAATACAGTGAAATAAAGTGTCGGAATAGGAATATAAATCAGCCATAATTATGGCAACTGTAAATAACTGATCCACAGTGATATAAATTAGGAATAAATTGTCAAGGCAAATGTTCTCTTGCTAGGATAGTGTAAAATCGCACTCCCAATTATTGGGCTGTTCCAACATAAGGGATATTCCAAGGGACCTAGAAGAAAATGAATAATTTCAAGAGAAATAAAGGTATATGTCTCAGATGGCATTGAAAGAAAGCCTAAAAAACTAGGTGTCTGCACCAATATATGAACAGATCATATTAAAAAGGAATATAAGCAACTAATAGACGGAAAGAATTAGTATAAGGGATCTCAAGGGAAGTTTTCTGAAGACATAAAAATAAATCTAAGGTCTCAATCAAGAAAGAGTGGTATTTCCAAGTGTTAATATTCACACGCACTTTATAATGTTTATGTATGTGCCAGTTGTCATTATAAGCCAAAATTAATTAAATGGCCAAGAAATTATGAAAAAAGAGAAGAGAAGATATATATGAAGCGAACGATCTATATGTTCTGCACGTCTGACATCAAGTAACAAATAATAGTTACTAAAATAGTAACAGTAACACTCCAAGATTGTTGTCCTCTTCTTAGAATAGTCACAAATACAGATTCAATGTACTGTGATATCCAGTACTAGATAGGACAGTGCAATGGAGTGGAGAATGGCCCCGAAGGCTAAGCTGGACAGAATGACATGCTGTATTGAAGGATGGTAATGGATAAGATGTAAATCATCATTTGATGAAGCACAATGAAGGGAAACAACCATCTTTGGGGTCAGGTGGTGAATTCATTACTCAGTAGTGGTCTAATAAATATATCAGAGATAAATAAATATGATGAGAATTAATATTTCAATTATCTGAAAAAACAAACAAAAAATAATAGTAGCAAAAAAATAACAATAAACAATAAAGAAACTTGTCATAACCTTAAATCATAATCACGATCCATTAGGAATGAATGAATGGAGTAAAATTAAACTCCTCATTCAGTCCTTTGGGATACAACGTTTGAAATAGATAGATCCAGCGAGATTCCGCTTTTAGTAGAGAAACGTTTATATCCCCTTTCCTGTGGTTCTGGAAAATTTTTGAATTACCTGAAACTTGAGTACATTGGGTAATGAAGCATGATTTACACGTACATGTCTCGCTATGGGTGTCTCCATATGTGGATTCAAAATAGAATTAATATGTTGCAAAACACGTCGGCATAGTTGTTGATATGTCTTCCCAATGTACTGTAAGCCACAGTCACAGGTTATGAGATAAACAACATTCGTTGACCCACAGTTGACAAATGAATTCACCAAAATGTCTTTAAATGTAGTTTTATTCCATACTGTTTTCGAAGGTAAAATATACTGGCATGCCTTACAGTGCCCGCATCTGTAAAGGCCGTTGGTCTGCAGCCAAGTGGATGTAGTCTGTGCAGGTTTTGGATGACTTTGAGTTAGTAAATCTGCTAAAGTCTTGGCTCTGTGGTATGTCAATAGAGGCTTGTTCGTAATGGTATTTTTCAGACTTGTGTCGTGTTGTAATAACGGCCAATTTCGATTTAGTACCTGTAAGGTCTGATTCCAATGTTTGTCATATGTCCCTATAAACCTTGTAGCCCCCGTAGTGGTTTGTGTGATCTTGGATGGTTTATGAAGACTCTCTGATCTATCCACAGTTTTAGCTCTTTAATATGCTTTTTTTTAAATTCTGTTTGGATAGCCGAGACTTTTAAATCTCTGTCTTAGATTTTGTGCTTCTATCTCATAGTCTTCTGGATTGGAACAGTTCCTTTTGGCTCTAAGGTATTGGCCATTTGGTATATTGGCCTTTACATGATGCGGATGAAAGCTTTGCCAGTGTAGCAAACTGTTAGTTGCCGTGGGTTTTCTGAATAGTGTTGTGGAAATTTGTCCATCTTCCAAAATGCCTATGGTTAGATCAAGGAAGACTAATTGAGTTGAAGATACATTTGATTATTGTTTAGAGTGTCCACCATTTTCTCAAACAGTGTAAACGAACCTAACCAAAAAATTAACACATTGTCAATATAACCATACCATTTAAATACTGACGAAGTGTATATGACATTAGGATCCGTGAAGACTATGGTTTCTTCCCACCACCCCAAAAACAGATTGGCATAGCTGGGTGCACAAGATGAACCCATTGCATTACCTCGCAGTTGTAAAAAGTATTTGCCATTAAATGTAAAGTAATTATGTGTAAGCACAAATTTTAATAGCTGTAGGATGAAGTCCTGTTCCCGTTGATTAAACGTCTTGACTTTTGCAAGGAAATAGGCAACAGCAGCTAACCCTCTATCGTGTGGAATGTTATTGTAAAGTGCCACCACATCCAAGCTTGCCAAAGAGGTATACGGGGTCACCACAAGGTTTTCCAAAGCTAAAAGGGTCTGTTTTGTGTCCCGTTTGTGTGAGTTAAGGCCCAAGACCAAAGGTTGTAATAATTTGTCCAAAAACTGACTGGCTCTCTCAGTCAGACAGTGGTTGCCTGAGACTATAGGTCTCCCTGGGGAATTCAGTAGATCTTTGTGTACCATTGGGAGACAGTAAAATGTGGCAATAGTAATGTTGGACTAAGACACAATAAATCTATATTCATTTTGAGTGATTGTATTATCTGTTAAGGCTCCCTGTGCTAGTGACTGTAGTTCCATGAGGAACTTTTTGGTAGGGTCAGCTTTTAGTATCTGATAAGCACTTTCATCTGTTAAGTGTTGCATACACATGTTTATGTACTGGTCCCTCTGCATGAGGACAATGTTTCCTCCTTTATCGGAGGATTTAATTATGACCTCAGATGCTGAGCACAATTCTTGTAATGCTTGTCGTTCTATTTTTAGATTGGGAATGTATGACTGTTGAGGAATTTGACCTTCTAATTCATTTGTACAAATCTGAACAAATAAATCAATATAAGGAAATTCCTTTAAATTCGGAGTAAACCAACTTGGTGGTTTAAAATTGGTGAGAGAATTAGATGTTTCTTGCTCCGAATATAGATCAGTGAGGAGTTTGTAAACAGCATTGTCCTCAGGAGAGAGACCTAATTCCTTTACCTTTTTAAGGTTAATTTTTTCATGTAAAGCATGCAAAGCTAATTTTCTACCAAAGAGATTTACATCTTTTGCCCAGTCAAACATGTTTCTGGAGGGAGTATATATGTCTACTTTTCAAATTAAACTTGGACAGATTTATTATTTTGTTGTTATGTTGTGACTGTACGTCTATTGATAGTTTGGTTTGTGTGTCTTGTACCCCCATTTTTTCCTGTCCCTGACTCTCTCTCTCTGTGGTTGTGGCCACTCCTGAACTAAAAAAGCCGCTTGACAAAATTAAAATTACACAAAAACTTTCAGTTTTAACATGACGGACATTTTGGAACAGGTAGTAAACTAAGACTTTAGATCGGAAGATCTCGAAGTGTTCTCGAATAAACCTCTAGGAAATATAAATGGTAAATCCACTGATATTGACCATGCATTCTTTGCAATACAAAAACTGTGCCAAACACAATTAAAGAGCTTTTGGGAATTAGCTAGTCTGAGACACTACACAGAACAGAAATTGGTACGTAGAGGTCTTCGACCTGACATTTTACTACCAGATAAAGTAAAAACAGAAGAACAGATAGCAGAATGGAATTCAATTCTGCTAGAATGCTCAGCAAAAATAATGCAATTCCTTATCAAACTTGAACAGGAGAATTTGGATAAGACCAATGAGGAACTAGATATAGAAATTAAGAAAATAAAAACTTTAGACAAAGAACCAAATTTTGGGGCCATAGAAACAAAGCTCAATAAAAATTTAGAAAATTTCAAAAAGAACATGAGACAAAAAAAGCATTACAAATTCCAAAGGGATTATAGAGATTTTCAGGAAGGTAACATCTTTAAAAATAAAAATAAAAGAAGATTCACTAACAACAGGGCGAATACTAAAGGTTTTTCCTCATCTGCGGAAACAGAATGGTCTGAATCAGAAACCAGACCTCGCTATTTTAAAGGCCCTCTGTGAGATCTAACTCATCTACATCTACAACTCAGACTAGAGGGATTTTGAGAAATACTGACAGAAATATTTTGTTTGCAGATCCCCCGTCTGACCCAGTTTCATTCATGAATTCTAGACATGAATCTAATTTAGGGCCACCTCAACCATCATCGGCTTTTTTAGATCAGAAGTGGCCACAACCGCAGAGAGAGAGACTCAGGGACAGGAAAAAATGGGGGTACAAGACACACAAACCAAACCATCAATAGACATACAGTCACAAGATAACAACAGAATAATAAATCTGACCAAGTTTAATTTGAAAAGTAGACATATCGCTCCTACAAAAAGGCCTTTCATTTGTACCGACTCCCTCCAGAAACATGTTTGACTGGGCGAAAGATGTAAATCTCTTTGGTAGAAAATTAGCTCTGCATGCTTTACATGAAAAAATTAACCTTAAAAGGTAAAGGAATTAGGTCTCTCTCCTGAGGACAATGCTGTTTACAAACTCCTCACTGATCTATATTCGGAGCAAGAAACATCTAATTCTCTCACCAATTTTAAACCACCAAGTTGGTTTACTCCGAATTTAAAGGAATTTCCTTGTATTGATTTATTTGTTCAGATTTGTACAAATGAATTAGAAGGTCAAATTCCTCAACAGTCATACATTCCCAATCTAAAAATAGAACGACAAGCATTACAAGAATTGTGCTCAGCATCTTAGGTCATAATTAAATCCTCCGATAAAGGAGGAAACATTGTCCTCATGCAGAGGGACCAGTACATAAACATGTGTATGCAACACTTAACAGATGAAAGTGCTTATCAGATACTAAAAGCTGACCCTACCAAAAAGTTCCTTATGGAACTACAGTCACTAGCACAGGGAGCCTTAACAGATAATACAATCACTCAAAATGAATATAGATTTATTGTGTCTCAGTCCAACATTACTATTGCCACATTTTACTGTCTCCCAATGGTACACAAAGATCTACTGAATTCCCCAGGGAGACCTATAGTCTCAGGCAACCACTGTCTGACTGAGAGAGCCAGTCAGTTTTTGGACAAATTATTACAACCATTGGTCTTGGGCCTTAACTCACACAAACGGGACACAAAACAGACCCTTTTAGCTTTGGAAAACCTTGTGGTGCCCCCGTATACCTCTTTGGCAAGCTTGGATGTGGTGGCACTTTACAATAACATTCCACACGATAGAGGGTTAGCTGCTGTTGCCTATTTCCTTGCAAAAGCCAAGACGTTTAATCAACGGGAACAGGACTTCATCCTACAGCTATTAAAATTTGTGCTTACACATAATTACTTTACATTTAATGGCAAATACTTTTTACAACTGCGAGGTACTGCAATGGGTTCATCTTGTGCACCCAGCTATGCCAATCTGTTTTTGGGGTGGTGGGAAGAAACCATAGTCTTCACGGATCCTAATGCCATATACACTTCGTCAGTATTTAAATGGTATGGTTATATTGACAATGTGTTAATTTTTTGGTTAGGTTCGTTTACACTGTTTGAGAAAATGGTGGACACTCTAAACAATAATCAAATGTATCTTCAACTCACTCATGTTATACATGAGATTCAATTAGTCTTCCTTGATCTAACCATAGGCATTTTGGAAGATGGACAAATTTCCACAACACTATTCAGAAAACCCACGGCAACTAACAGTTTGCTACACTGGCAAAGCTTTCATCCGCATCATGTAAAGGCCAATACCTTAGAGCCAAAAGGAACTGTTCCAATCCAGAAGACTATGAGAAAGAAGCACAAAATCTAAGACAGAGATTTAAAAGTCTCGGCTATCCAAACAGAATTTTAAAAAAAGCATAACAAAGAGCTAAAACTGTGGATAGATCAGAGAGTCTTCATAAACCATCCAAGATCACACGAACCACTACGGGGGCTACAAGGTTTATAGGGACATATGACAAACATTGGAATCAGACCTTACAGGTACTAAATCGAAATTGGCCGTTATTACAACACGACACAAGTCGAACAAGCCTCTATTGACATACCGCAGAGCCAAGACTTTAGCAGATTTACTAACTCAAAGTCATCTAAAACCTGCACAGACTACATCCACTTGGCTGCAGACCAACGGCCTTTACAGATGCGGGCACTGTAAGGCATGCCAGTATATTTTACCTTCAAAAACAGTATGGAATAAAACTACATCTAAAGACATTTTGGTGAATTCATTTGTCAACTGTGGGTCAACGAATTTTGTTTATCTCATAACCTGTGACTGTGGCTTACAGTTTAATTTTACTCCATTCATTCATTCCTTATGGATCGTGATTATGATTTAAGGTTATGACGAATTTCTTTATTGTTTATTGTTATTTTTTGGCTACTATTATTTTTTGTTTGTTTTTTCAAATAATTGAAATATTAATTCTCAGCATATTTATTAATCTCTGATATATTTGTGAGACCACTATTGATTAATGAATTCACTACCTGACCCCAAAGATGGTTGTTTTCCTTCATTGTGCTTCATCAAATGATGATTTACATCTTATCCATTACCATCCTTCAATACAGCATGTCATTCTGTCCAGCTTAGCCTTCGGGGCCATTTCCCACTCCATTGCACTGTCCTATCTAGTACTGGATATCACAGTACATTGAATCTGTATTTGTGACTATTCTAAGAAGAGGACAACAATCTTGGAGTGTTACTGTTACTATTTTAGTAACTATTATTTGTTACTTGATGTCAGACGTGCAGAACATATAGATCGTTCGCTTCATATATATCTTCTCTTCTCTTTTTTCATAATTTCTTGGCCATTTAATTAATTTTGGCTTATAATGACAACTGGCACATACATAAACATTATAAAGTGCGTGTGAATATTAACACTTGGAAATACCACTCTTTCTTGATTGAGACCTTAGATTTATTTTTATGTCTTCAGAAAACTTCCCTTGAGATCCCTTATACTAATTCTTTCCGTCTATTAGTTGCTTATATTCCTTTTTAATATGATCTGTTCATATATTGGTGCAGACACCTAGTTTTTTAGGCTTTCTTTCAATGCCATCTGAGACATATACCTTTATTTCTCTTGAAATTATTCATTTTCTTCTAGGTCCCTTGGAATATCCCTTATGTTGGAACAGCCCAATAATTGGGAGTGTGATTTTACACTATCCTAGCAAGAGAACATTTGCCTTGACAATTTATTCCTAATTTATATCACTGTGGATCAGTTATTTACAGTTGCCATAATTATGGCTGATTTATATTCCTATTCTGACACTTTATTTCACTGTGGTGTACAAATCTTCTCTTTTCCATTTGTCGTTCTAAATGTCACAAAAAGATAGAAAAAATGCAGGCAGGCTTGGGATGTCTAACAAATCCCAGTCTGACTACATTACCTGGAAATACTATATAGCAATGTAGCGTGAAGGAATATTAACTAGGGAATATATCCAATAGAAACAATCTAGTAAAAAATATAGAATAAATATAACATCAATACTAGTAATCCTATGATCTCTAAAGGGAATGCACATAGGTCACAGCAAAGACCAGGCAATATGTCATATAAATTGATAAAGAACCTTTACTCCTATATGACAGCTTTAATGAAGTACATATGCTAAATAGGAAAAGGTATACGTATATCTATCTAGTTGCCAGTGTCTATCTTCCTGAGTGCAAAAAACCCACAGATATCCTGTATCCATATATATCATATATATATTTTGTAAAAAACCATGGAATAAGTGTCTGCTGATCGTATATACAACCACAAAAAAAGTTTGTATTGAATCAAGCCATATGTGGAAAGAGATCTTACAAAACAACAGACCTTACCAATGTACAGGAAATAAAAGTCTAGAGTAGTCAAATATGGAGAGAGACTTAAATGTAGGATAGAAAAGAAGGAGTTTGTAGAAACAAATGGTCAGTCAAAAGTAAACTGCCATGTATATTTAAATTTATAAAGCCTCTCTCCCTGGTAAACTAACTAGACAGGCATAGGAATATGAGAAAAATAGAACAAGAGAAAAGTGTTAAGTGCAATTCATAGTGCTAGGGTGCCATTCAGTGCCCAGTGTAGAAATTGGCAAAACGCCCAACGCGCGTTTCGGTGCT